CCGGAAGCGAGATGTGGCAGCCACGGTGGGGGTTGCTGGGGGCGGGGGAGCAGTGGGCAGGCCCCTCCTCTGCCCTGGCTTCCACGTGGACCGCGGTGAGAAAGGACAAGTGGCCACGCACAGGGGCGGCTCTGCTCACCCAGCCAGGGCTGCGGCCTCCCACTCACCCCGGAGGCCTCTGGACGGTGGTGGAGACAGAAGCTGGCCCATCAGACCCTTGAGTGAGATTCCCGTGGGCAGAGTGTGTGTGGCCAATGCCAAGGGGCCACCAGCCAGCGTGAACAACGTCCTGGCCCTCCCTGCCCCGGTGGTGTCACTCCCGCCCCACCGTGATGTCTGGAACCCTGCCCCGGTGTGTGGCTGCACGGTCTCCCGAGTCTGGGGATGGGAGAACAAGGCTTGTGCTAGAGACCTTGGGCTGTGACGTACACCTGTGGTCCCAGATACTCGGGAGGCCAAGGCAGGAGGATCCCTTGAATCCAGAGGACCCAGAGAGATCTGGAATATTGTCTCACGCAACAGAAAGTGTCCTCAATACCGAATTGCGTTAAAATTCTGCAGGGGACTAACGATCAGAGAAACAAACTAAGCTTCCTGTCCACACAGAGCAACAGAAGAAATCCTGCCTCTACAAAAAATAAAAAATTACCAGCCTGGCCACCATGGGGAAACCCCATTTCTACTAAAAATACAAAAATTAGCTGGGCATGATGGTGCACGCCTGTAATTCCAGCTATTCGAGGGGCTGAGGCAGGAGAATGACTTGAACCGGGGAGGCAGAGGTTGCAGTGAGTAGAGATCGTGCCACTGCGCTCCAGCCTGGGTGACAGAGCAAGACTCTCGGAAAAAATAAATAAAAAATCAAAATAAAAATTTAGCCAGTGTGGGCCATAAGCCTGTAATGCCAGCTAATAGGGAGGCTGAGGTGAGAGGATCACTTGAGCCTAACAGGTTGAGGCTACAGTGAGCAGACATCATGCCACTGCACTCTAGCGTAAAAAAAACAACAGAGAACCTACCTGAAAAAAAAAAAAAAAAGAAACAAGAAAAGGCTGCAGCCAGGCATGATGGCTCACACAATCCCAGCACTCTGGGAGGCAGAGGCAGACGGCTTATCTGAGGTCAGGAGCTCGAGACCAGCCTGGCCAACATGGCAAAACCCTGACTCTACCAATAAAGTACAAAAATTATGGCCGGGCGCGGCGGCTCACACCTGTAATCCCAGCACTTTGGGAGGCCGAGGCGGGTGGATCACAAGGTCAGGAGATCGAGACCATCCTGGCTAACATGGTGAAATCCCATCTGTACTAAAAATAAAAAAAAAATAGCCGAGTGTGGTGGCGGGCGCCTGTAGTCCCAGCTACTCA